GTTGTGGGTGGGGTGGTGGTAGTGGGTGGGAGGTAGGGAGGGAGAAGTGACATACATCACCCCACCTGCCACTGCTCTGGAAGGTTACTGTTTTAATCAATTCACGCAGCCTCACTTGTATACTTTATTCTTCCCATTGTCTCGCCACACATTTTTTTTCTGAAACTCTTAGAATCTTGTATACTTTTTATGTTTGTATAGTTCATATACATGTATGTAATGAAAATAATTATTTCCAGCACATTTGACTGATGAAATATTTATTTATAGTGTATAGTGATGAGATATGTTCATACTGAGACATTAAACTAATACAGTGGACCCCCGGTTTACAATATTATTTCATTCCAGAAGTATGTTTAGGTGCCAGTACTGACCGAATTTGTTCCCATAAGGAATATTGTGAATAAGATTAGTCCATTTCAGACCCCCAAACATACACATACAAACGCACTTACATAAATACACTTACATAATTGGTCGCATTGGGAGCTGATCGAAAACCGGGGGTCCACTGTACTAGGAATTTATTTGCTGAAGAGGGCCTGGCATACTGGCTGGAATACCTTGTTGTTCACTGGTAGGGCATTCGTCTTGTAACCAAGAGGATTTAGGTTCTAATCTTAGCTTAGGTTTGAAGTGTGACCAAGTCTCCATACACCTGCTGCCTCTCTTCACCCGGCAGTAAATAGATACCTGTACCTAGTTTTTGCAAAACTCTTGTGGGTTGCTTCCTGAGGGGGAGGACCTAAACAAAAAAATCATTGGAAAAAACCCTCACTGCTTGAGAACCCTGAGTTCTTACAACCCCCCCCCCCCCCCTCCCCCATGGTTATTAACTTGAATAAAGTCTTCTTGCTCTTTAAGCTATATCATTTTAAGGATTTAAAGTTATTAACTCTTCATCGTCACGACCCCAAATTAAACGCTCACTTTTTTCACTCTTAAAATATTTTATGTTTTATTTCTAACAATGTTTTAAAAAGAATATTTTTCCCTAGGAATTGCCCTGAAAAATGTGATTTTGTTACTATTGACCAAATTACTAGCATTCTTGCAGGGGCTGTCGGGTTTCTATTAATTCAAAGGGTTTTTAGGTGCCAGTCAGATCAGAATTTGTTAAAGTGTCAGTAAGTTAGTCATTTGCCCCCAAATTTACACACAAATTAATAAATTACCATTTTGTCGCATGGAATCAAAACTGTACAATTTATTGGCAAGGGGCCAGGCATACACAAAGCTTTCCATGTTGTAATCACATGGTAGATCTCTAGTAACAAAATTTAGGTTCTCCATCTTAGCCATTTTCCTCTCCATAAGTCTTGCTCTTTCATGCAGTAATAAGATATTACCTAGTATTTGAATTGGGGTTGGGGGTTTAGGCCTCCTAATAAAATCAAGGAATAACCACTGTTAGTTTATTTCTTAAACCCCCTGCCCTCCCATGGTATAAACTTGAAAGTTTCCTTTTAAAAGGCTATATCAAATTTTAAGGATAAATTCAACGTGCTGTACCAAAACTCCCCAAATTACCTCACAGTCCCCTTCCAATACTTGCTTCATGTATTTTCTAAATGTAGGAATATTTTTCTAAGTGCTGTGTTTTGCTTATTTACTTTTTTTATGTATTGGTTGTTCAGGGCTGCCTAGTTCAAACTTCAAAGTTCTTGTAATTTTTTTTTAAATTTTGGAGGTTAATAACACAGGATACATAAGAAATTTTCCCATGCATCATAAAGATGTCTTATTAATTTGGGGTTCTTCCATCTTTAATCCACCCACACAAAAAAGGGTTTGCTCATCCCAGATAATACTTGCTATAACAGGGAATGATGGTGTGGTAACACGCCATGCTATCCATTAAAGGGAAGGTAGAAATATGAAACACTCAGTATGTGGGTGAGGGTTGCCTTTTACCAGGTCATATGACAGCATTCATACGTGCCTGTAGAATTATTGTTCTAAGTTCCCATTACTAACATTCTAAATACTGATTACTAAAATGTCAAGACTCTGTGAAACTTTTTATTCTTGTGTCAGTAGTTTAACAACACAATAGTTCTTGATATTTTTTTAAATAGGGTTAGCTACACGTACTTAAGAAAGTCAGTGATTGAAGATGTCTTATTTCCATTGTGTCCTAGTCTGGTGCCCCAGGAAGCCACCACACCAGTTGGCTAACAATACTAGCAGGTGAAGGGATGACAGGCATGGGAAAACACCCAATGTTTCATCTAACCAGGTGATTGAAGATGGACATCAGTATGTAGGTGGTGGTGCCTACCACCAGTATACCCGACTCATCTAGGTCCTGGATAAAAATGAGTACCCATGAAAAACGTTCAGAATACACTAACAAAAAAAGCTAGTGAAACTTATCATTCGTTGACAAAATAGTAAAAAAACTTTGAATCTACTACAGTAGTACTGTGTATGTGGGTATTGGATTGACAAAGCATCTGTGTCAAGCATCTGGGTCCTCGGTTGACACGAAAAATAAGCAGTTATTTGTGCCATGATGTTGTACACTAGTGAGAAGAGAAGAGTACCAGGTGGCTGGTGTAACTGTCACTGCTTACTAACATGACACAGTAGTGTAGCCATGCAGGGTCACTGGTTCACCACAGTAGTGTCACTGGGTCACTGGTTGACACAGTAGTAGTGAACCATTGATCTACAACAGTAGTAGTGTGCACTGGGTCACTGGTTGACACAGCAGTAGTGTGCACTGGGTCACTGGTTGACACAGGAGTAGTGTGCACTGGGTCACTGGTTGACACAGAGTAGTGTGCACTGGGTCACTGGTTGGGACACAGCAGTAGTGTGCACTGGGTCACTGGTTGACACAGAAAGTGTGCACTGGGTCACTGGTTGACACAGCAGTAGTGTGCACTGGGTCACGGGTTTGGGACACAGCATTTAGTGTGCACTGGGTCACTGGTTGACACAGCATTAGTGTGCACTGGGTCACTGGTTGACACAGCAGTAGTGTGCATGGGTCACTGTGTTGACACAGCAGTAGTGTGCACTGGGTCACTGGTTGACACAGCAGTAGTGTGCACTGGGTCACTGGTTGACACAGCATTAGTGTGCACTGGGTCACTGGTTGACACAGCAGTAGTGTGCACTGGGTCACTGGTTGACACAGCAGTAGTGTGCACTGGGTCACTGGTTTACCCCAGCAGTAGTGTGCACTGGGTCACTGGTTGACACAGCAGTAGTGTGCACTGGGTCACTGGTTGACACAGCAGTAGTGTGCACTGGGTAACTGGTTGACACAGCAGTAGTGTGCACTGGGTCACTGGTTTACACAGCAGTAGTGTGCACTGGGTCACTGGTTGACACAGCAGTAGTGTGCACTGGGTCACTGGTTGACACAGCAGTAGTGTGCACTGGGTCACTGGTTGACACAGCAGTGTGCACTGGGTCACTGGTTGACACAGCAGTAGTGTGCACTGGGTCACTGGTTGACACAGCAGTAGTGTGCACTGGGTCACTGGTTGACACAGCAGTAGTGTGCACTGGGTCACTGGTTGACAGGAGTAGTGTGCACTGGGTCACTGGTTGACACAGGAGTAGTGTGCACTGGGTCACTGGTTGACACAGAAGTAGTGTGCACTGGGTCACTGGTTGACACAGTAGTAGTGTGCACTGGGTCACTGGTTGACACAGCAGTAGTGTGCACTGGGTCACTGGTTGACACAGGAGTAGTGTGCACTGGGTCACTGGTTGACACAGGAGTAGTGTGCACTGGGTCACTGGTTGACACAGGAGTAGTGTGCACTGAGTCACTGGTTGACACAGAGTAGTGTGCACTGGGTCACTGGTTGACACAGGAGTAGTGTGCACTGTCACTGGTTGACACAGTAGTAGTGTGCACTGGGTCACTGCTTGACATAGCAGTAGTGTGCACCGGGTCACTGGTTGACAGGAGTAGTGTGCTCCGGGTCACTGGTTGACACAGGAGTAGTGTGCACTGGGTCACTGGTTGACACAGGAGTAGTGTGCACTGGGTCACTGGTTGACACAGCAGTAGTGTGCACTGGGTCACTGGTTGACACAGGAGTAGTTGGTGCACTGGGTCACTGGTTGACACAGGGGTTAGTAGGGGTGACACTGGGCAACTGGTTGACAAGGAGTAGTTGCTCCGGGTCACTGGTTGACACAGGATTTAGTGTGCACTGGGTCACTGGTTGACACAGGAGTAGTGTGCACTGGGTCACTGGTTGACACAGGAGTAGTGTGCACTGGGTCACTGGTTGACACAGGAGTAGTGTGCACTGGGTCACTGGTTGACACAGGAGTAGTTTGCACTGGGTCACTGGTTGACACAGGAGTAGTGTGCACTTCGTCACTGGTTGATACAGGAGTAGTGTGCACTGGGTCACTGGTTGACACAGCAGTAGTGTGCACTGGGTCACTGGTTGACACAGGAGTAGTGTGCACTGGGTCACTGGTTGACACAGGAGTAGTGTGCACTGGGTCACTGGTTGACACAGGAGTAGTTCGCACTGGGTCACTGGTTGATACAGGAGTAGTGTGCACTGGGTCACTGGTTGACACAGCAGTAGTGTGCACTGGTCGACGCAGCAATAGTGTGTGCTGGTCGACACAGCAGTAGTGTGAGCTCAGTCACTGGTTCACACAGGAGTAGGGTGCACCTTCTGAGTGGTGCACAAGTATTCTTGCACAAAACCATTACAAATAACATTATTGATGAGAAAACTGGAGCTTTAAGTTAACTTATATGTATTGAATTATATATTATAATAGTGCCATTAATCATTGAGACTGTTGGGATTGAGAGGTAAAACAGGAAGGATATGGTGGTAGTAGTGTAGGGTGCAAGGTCACCTACAAGGTCATGCTGGGTGGGTGGGTGGGGATAACTGCCACCTGTCACCTCCCTTGCATCACTCATAACAAACTCAGTCTCCTGCAGTTGGCCACTCATGCCATAGCTATAACAAAGGGTGTGAAGGCATTAATTATTTTTTGTGTGTGAGCAAAGAAGACAGTTTTGTTTTCAGTGGTTAAGTGTTTGCGTGTGAGGATTGCCTGGTTCCTCTTTGTTGGTTTCAATAAAAGAAAAAACTTTGAAGAAGTTTGATCCTTTGAGTTTTTAACTTTAAGTTGCATAAGAGAAGTGATACTGCATTTAGAGGGTGTGTATAGCTTGTATATACACCATTTGACAAATATTTGCATTTCTTAGCCAGGAAGACTGCCATAATAGTAAGATTAACCATGAATGGTGATTTATTCAGAGACACATTGTCCTTGATGGAAGGCACAAGTCACACCATCGGTTACCGTGTTCGTCTTCGTATGCAACACATTCTGAAAGATGTGGCTGAACTGGCTTACCAAAGGCCACAGTTTTTTGCAGATGTTCCCCCTCCACCATTACTGGTTGGCAAAGGTAATGCATTGTTTTATGTAAATTTTTTATTGTTGTATATGAGGGTTCTGAGTTGTAAGGGCTTGAGTATCGAGCAGCTTTTGCTAGTGTTAGATCAGAGTGAATTGAAACAGGTGGATTTTGCGATTTAATGCGCTCTTAGCTGTAATTTAATGTGCTGGTTTGCTGGGTTTAAATTCTAAGAGGTTAGAAGTTGAGTGCTTGCTCTTTTAAGGATGGGTGAGGATATTACATTTCCTTGGATCATTACAACTGTGATGTCCATGGTGCAGTCATTGAGTGGAGGCTTCCTTTGGCAAGTGTATGTACATTCAATAATACGTACATTAGTTTTGGCTCCAGGCATTTTCCCAGCTCTCTGACCAGTATTCATACCTAAATAATGTATATTAGAGCTGATTTCCTCTATTCTGTTTATTACAGTATACAGTACACTACTGTATAAACATTTAAAAATATACTAAAAATGTTATAAATGGTACAAAGGTGACATTAAAGCAATATCAAAGATGGTTGACATAAACCCACTCCATTATAGTATGCTCCTTGTTTAGCGACGAATTCGTTTACTGACATGGTATTAGGAACGGAACTCCATCGTTAAGTGAGGAGAAGCTGTAGTTTATCATGTGCCCCACTTGGAATGGTATAGATACTAGTACAGTACATATTGAATTTACTGTGTTGTGTGCCTCTTTATCAGGTTGATGAATGTGTTGGAATTGAAGCTGATTACTGTGCATATTGCTTTTATCAGTAATGTGGATAGTATTCTCTGAAATCTACCCTGCTTGGAGAACAATGTATCAGTCTGGAGTCTGGTGTATCTATTGGTGTGGAATATTTTAACAGCCTTCTGCAATCAATGATGAAATGTGCTAGATATTTAAGCTTGAAAAAAGTATTGTGTAGCTGTATTCTTCTTTGAGAGAAACAGGACTAGAGATTCTATAAACTCTTTAAAACCCTATGAGGCATTTTTTTTTTTAATGTATGCATTATAGTGTCTTTAGTATAAGTCATCTTTCTTTGTAGGTTTTCTGTAGGCTTTAAGATCCAGTTTGTACTTTTTTTTTTTTGCAAATTAAAATACCATGAAAAGTATGCACTGTGTCTTCTTCCTTGGTGAGTTTGATAGCTAGTTCCACAGAGTTGTTGATGTTGAGAAGTGCAATAGTGTCTAGATATATGGGCACAATTACTAAGTTCATCTACAGTTACTGAGGTCATCAGGCTAGCACCAGATGAGCCTGGCCCATGGCTGGGCTCCAGGAGTAGAAAAACTCGAAACTCATGAAAGGTATAAAGGTATTGAATCCATATTGCTCCTATGGTAATGTATATTTTTAGCCTTTGCTACTCCAGGTGCTCCATATACAGGTTGGCCATGACCACATTAAGGTTTGAAACCATGACCATTCCATATGACTGCTTGTGCACACAATCACAGTAAAGAACAGTTGAAATGAATACAAGTCTCTTGTTGTGTTGACCTTGACCTCTTCCAGCCAGCTTTGTCAGTTTCAACTGCTTCTCTTTCAGCTACTAGTGTACAAGCTGTCACATGGAGTAGCCATGGGCTCCCACTTAGGTCAGCATCGAACAACTAATGTATGGAGCACCTGGAGGAGGAAAGGTGAAATCATATATCCCCAGAGGTGTAACATGGATACAGTATGTGGATGACTTCTTGGTAATTGTGAGAACAAATTTGGGAGTTCCATACAAAGAGAGTTGGGGTTGTTAATAAAAAAAATTGTCACCAGATCATGTAGATGAAATTGTAAGGCATGTATATGCTACACTGAAATACACCTACCATCTGACTTACGACCTGCTCGACTTATGACCACTCGACTTATGACCACTCGACTTATGACCGTTTTTTTTTTTTTTTTTTGCCAAATTTCTGGGAAATAAACAACTATTTGTGTTGTACACAGTGTTTATCCTAAACCTTACAGTATAAAATACAGTACTAACAACATAAAAAGTAAAGTAAAACATGAAATACCAAAATAAAACAATAAAATAGTCATTACAAAAATGTGATGTTGATATTCAGTAGTAAAGTTCGACTTACGTCCATTTCGACTTACGACTGGTTTCTCGGAACTGAACTCGGTCGAAAGTCGGATGGTAGGTATATATGGATGGAGAAATACTGAAGGTGCTGACAACACGTGTTAAAATTGTTATATGCAGCTACTGTAGTGTCCATACCTAAAAAACCCAAATTTTTCTCAAAGTCCAACAGAAAAGCTACGAAATGGAAAGGCCAAAAACATTAAAGATGCCCACACTGAGTAATAGCAGGAAAAGAGGAGACATCAAGATACAGCACTGACTGACTTGACTGATACATGTTCATGTACATAGAAGACTGTGATACAAACAATATTGAGTCATACATGACAGTAGTCACTAGTGGTGAGAGATACTCTGCTGTAACACTTTAACAATATGTACATGTACAGTTGACCCCCGGTTTACGATATTTCATTCCAGAAGTATGTTCAGGTGCCATTACTGAACGAATTTGTTCCCATAAGGAATATTGTGAATTAGATTAGTCCATTTCAGACCCCCAAACATATACATAAAACCACTTACATAAATACACTTACATAATTGGTCGCATTGGGAGCTGATCGTAAACCGGGGGTCCACTGTATATCGTTTTTTTTTTACTTTTGGACATGTATAATACGTGGAGCATAAAGCACTGCATTAGCATTAGTAAGCAGCGCAGGTGATTACCAGGGATAGGTACTCCATTGCAAAACACATGTCACAATTTTAACAGTCCATATTGTTGTCCTTTTCAAGAAATCTGTGCCTTGCCGGTGAGGTGGTTCTTGATCCAAGAAACTGAACCTTTTCCTCCCCCTTGCATTGAACCTTATTGTCTCCTACACCCACAAGCTTTGTACAATCCCTATGGATTTAGCTCTCCCCCATGAATGTAATAATGTCTTAAAGTACAGTAGAGCCCCCGTATCCACCTGATTTGGTATCTGCGGTTTCAGTTATCCATGCTTTACTGTGGACCAAAAATACTTCTTAATTTTGCATAATAATGGCCCCCAAAGTGCAAAAGTAGAAAACCTGGCAATTCTCCAAAGCCTGAGAGAAGCTGTAAAGTGCTTCCCATCAGTGAAAAGTGATAATTCTCACTTATTGTGCATAATCTATTAATTTATACAGTCTCTCCTCACTTAGCAACGTACTTGTTTACCGATGACTCAAACTTACGACGGGCTCTCTGACCAGTATGTGTACCTAAATAATGTATATTAGAGCTGATTTCCTCTATTCTGTTTATTACAATATACAGTACACTACTCTGTAAACATTTAAATATGTACTAAAAATGTTATACAATGGACCCTCGACCAACGATGGCATTCGTCTAACGTTAAATCCGACTAGCGATACATTATAACGCAAAAATTTTGCCTCGACTAGCGCTAAAAAACTCGACCAACACGATTCGTTTCGTTTGAGACGCGTCCACTTGTGGCCAGTGTTTACAAGCCAGCCAGCCACCGCAGTCCCATCCAAACATACAATTGGAACATTTCATGTTATCACAGCGTTTTTAGTGATTGCACCTGCAAAATAAGTCACTATGGGCCCCAAGAAAGCTTCTAGTGCCAACCCTACAGCAAAAAGGGTGAGAATTACTATGGATATGAAGAAAGAGATCATTGCTAAGTATAAAAGTGGAGTGCGTGTCTCCGAGCTGGCCAGGTTGTACACAAAACCCCAATCAACCATCGCTACTATTGTGGCCAAGAAAACGGCAATCAAGGAAGCTGTTCTTGCCAAAGGTGCAACTATGTTTTCGAAACTGAGATCGCAAGTGATAGAAGATGTTGAGAGACTGTTATTGGTGTGGATAAACGAAAAACAGTTAGCAGGAGATAGCATCTCTCAAGTGATCATATGTGAAAAGGCTAGGAAGTTGCATGACGATTTAATTAGAAAAATGCCTGCAACTAGTGGTGATGTGAGTGAATTTAAGGCCAGCAAAGGTTGGTTTGAGAGATTTAAGAATCGTAGTGGCATACATAGTGTGATAAGGCATGGTGAGGCTGCCAGTTCGGACCAAAAAGCAGCTGAAAAATATGTGCAGGAATTCAAGGAGTACATAGACAGTGAAGAATTGAAACCTGAACAAGTGTTTAATTGTGACACTGACAATGTTGTGAAACACTTTAGGAATGTCATAAAGGAACAGGAGGTACAGGCCTCTATGGACAGATATGTTGTGCAACAGAGGTCCAGTGACTCAAGCTGGTCCTAGTGGCATTAAAAGAAGAAGGGAAGTAACCCCAGAAAAGGACTTGACACCTCAAGTCCTAATGGAAGGGATTCCCCTTCTAAACACTAACACCATCCACACTCCCCTCCTCCCATCCCATCAATCATCACCAGATCTTCAGTAAAGGTGAGTGTCATGTAATTGTACATGTCTTCTTCAGTTTGTATGTATTAAAATTAATATTTCATGTGGTAAAAATTTTTTTTTCAATACTTTCGGGTGTCTTGCACGGATTAATTTGATTTCCATTATTTCTTATGGGGAAAATTAACTCGACTAACAATAATTTCGATTAACGATGAGCTCTCAGGAGCGGATTAATATTGTTGGTCGAGGGTCCACTGTAAATGGTGCAAAGGTGACATTAAAACAATATGAAAGATGGTTGACACAAACCCACTACCATTATAGTATGCTCCTTGCTTAATGACAAATTTGTTTACCGACATCGTCTTAGGAACAGAACTCCATCGTTAAACGAGGAGAAGCTGTAATAAGTGTGTATAGGACTTAATATGTGGGGTTTGTTACTATCCATGGTTTCAGTATTTACGGCAGGTCCTTGGATGTATTCCCTGTGGATACTGGGGTCCTACTGTACTGTATTTTGTACGTTGTGTACTGTATGTGGTATTATCATTCATGATAGACATAGTCGAGGGACTCTGTGCTCGTTGGACACTTGACTAAGTTTGGAGATTGTGTTTGGCTCATTTATAGTTACTTTCTCCCAGTTTGTGGGAGAAGGCAACTATAAATGAGCCATGTTTTCTTAACACACCTACTGTCCCTGTTCACCTATCAGTAAAATAGATATCTGGGCATTAATCAACTGGTGTGGGTCACATCCTGGGGACGAAACTGTCCTAATTTGCTTGAAATGCTCTGCATAACCAGGGGCTTTCTGTATAATAGTATGTCATTGATTACAGTTAGGCCTGTATGCCTTGTAAATATACTTACAGAAATGAAGATTATTATTATTAGTATTTATTATTTTTATTATTTAATTAATGTGACTGCTATGGTTATGTACACTTGGGCACTAGCATGCAAAAGTTTATTACAGAATTTATAATAATAATGATGATAATGCAAAAAATGATAATGGTAATATGAGTTGTGGAGGTGGGAAGTAGTGTTTGGACTCTGAGGGAGAGGTGGGGATGCTATTGTTATGAGCCATCTTAATGGTGATGCTCTCACACTTCTGGTAAGATGGTTATGGAATGAATGATGGTGAACATGTTTTCCTCTTTGGAGTTATGCTTTGTTGGTAAGAAATTGAAATACTGTCAAGTAAAAAAAATTAAAATTCATCAGGAAATAAATAATAATACTACATTAGAAAATAAATTTATAATTAGAATAATATTTTCTTGGTGTTAATTACTAATCTTATTCTTTAATATTCAGATGGTCCACCGCCAATGCCACCAATGCCTCCCGGCCCTCCACCATGTACAACTATGGCCAGCCCTGTTCCCTCAACCAGTCAAGGACCACCAAATATGGCCATGGGTGGCATGATGGCACCTCCTCCACCTCCAGGGACTACAGGCCCCCCTGGTCCACCACCACCACCTCCAGGTGGACCCATCATGCCAGCTGAATATCCAAATGGAGGTTAGTCACAAGTGGAATGCGGTACTGTGCCTATAATATATCCTGTATTAATATTACAACAATAAGGAAGTTCGTATTCTTATAAGGAATGTAGTAAATTTTATTGTTTATTTGTAGTAGTAATATGTAGTGACTGCTTGACTAATATCTGTATATAAGGGAATCACAGCTGATATAGCCATTGTGGTCTTGTATTTCCAATGTTTGGAAGAGTTGTCCGTAACCCTCAAGAGTTTTGTGATTGGTAATATTAGCATATAGATCGTGTGTGTGCATAATATATATACGTATATTTCTTTTGAAATATACTGGCCGTCTCCCACTGAGGCCGGGTTACCTGAAGAAGAAACACTTTCACCATCATTCACGTTATCACTGTCTTGTCAGAGGCATGCAGATACAAGAGTTCAGATGTCCCTCCAAACAACAAATAGGCAGGCATTGTACTTCCCACCACCAGGACTTGAATCTGGCTGGACTTAACACTTTCCTTGAATCCCTTCACAAAAATGTTACCTTGCTCATACTCCAACAGCTCATCAGGTCCCAAAAACCATTTGCCTTCACTCTCATCTCACATGCTCACCTAAAGGTATAAAAGGTATGCCTGCTGGATGTCTAAGCTCCTTGCACACGAAACCTTCTTAACCCCCCTCCCTCTCTCCATCTTTTCCTAGGATGACCCCTACCCTACCTTCCCTCTACTACAGACTTGTTTATTTTATTTATAATTAAAGTATTTATTCACTGTGAATTTCACAGGGATGATGGGTCCAGGTCCAATGGGAATGGGTCCTGGCATGGGGCCAGGAATGGGACCAGGAATGATGGGACCCATGCAGGTGACAGTCAACCCAGCCACGAACGATGCACCTTTGGAATTCAACACCAACAAAAACAAACCACCCATGCCCGTGGCTGCCAGTAAGTCTTAATTTAATACTCTACTCTCAGTATGGAAGAAATTTTGCATATAATAATAAATGGTATGTTTATACTGACCAGATGTGGAGGAAGACATTTATGTACACTTGAGGACATTTATTACATTAATATTGAAGACAGTAATGGCAAAACATTTCTTCTAATAAAGGTCTTGAACTGTACATGTTTTTTTCTACATTATGCATATGGGATTAGCAGGTATTAACCCTTTCAGTGTCAGTCACATAGAGCTATGTCATTGAGGCCAGGATCCCTAACGTAGTTCTTAATCATGAGTTCCGCCCTCTCATATATGAGAGAATGCACCTAGATATGAGAGAATGGGTCTTTGTGATAAGTTCACAGTATAAAAAAAATCCTGCCCCATGTGGTGCATGATGGGAAAAGCAAAACTCACGCTATGTAAATGGTTTAAAATAGCCTCTCCTCACTTAATGACGGAGTTATATTCCTAAGACCACGTTAGTAAATGAATTCATTGCTAAGTAAATCAGTATACTGTACAGTCCTTACTTAGCGACCGAGTTCTGTTCCTAAGAGCAGGTCGGTAAATGAATTGGTCATTAAGTGAGGAGTCGTTTCCCTTACTGATATTTCAAGCATACTGTACTGGTAATGGGTTTGTGTCAATCATCTTTAGGTGGTTGTATTGAAGTTGGTTCTTGTTTAATCATACGAAGGGATTTTATTTAATGCCAATTTAAAATCTTAAATTAGAGTATACAATTTTATGCTCATAAAAAAAAGTGTTTGATGCCACAAATTTTACTAATTCTTTACAGATAATGGTGAAATTGTAGATAATAATATCCAGGAAGCAATCGTTGTGGAGGAGCGAAGAGATAGAGAGAGGGAGAGGGAGCGAGACCGTGAGAGAGACCACGGGAGAGATCGAGATAGAGATCGTGAGCGCTCTCGTGGCAGAGACAGAGACAGAGATCGGGACCGTGATCGTGAACGTGAGAGGTGAGATTGCAGCGGAAACTCTCCTTTTTTTATTTATTGAACTGTAGTATTAGCATGCCTCTGGCAAGACAGTGATGGAGTAAATGATGACGAAAGTGTTTTCTTTTTGGGTCACCCTGCCTCAGTGGGAAACTGGCAGTGTGTTAAAAAAAATTAATGCCGTGTAAAAACCACAACAAAAACTTTTCTTTTGATATTTTTTATTTAGATTTGACTTGAATTATTTGCTTATTTTAAAGTCCTTTTAAAAGTCCTTGTCAACTTTCCATTCTTTCCTCACTTCATCTCTTTCCCAGTCATAGTTGACCTGTCTACTGCAAGCTTCCAGAGTTCTCTGCATAATTTCTTCACTAAATTTAATGAGAGGGGTGTGTGGGGGCTACAGGTCTTTATTCACCACACAGTAGTTACAGGGGTGGAAGCATTAGTATTATAGTTATAATCATTATGGAAATACTAATCTGTATACATGAGAATAGGAAGTAATCAGGTTTGATTCATTGAAGGGAAGGGTAGCTTCAGATCCTTAGTTAAAGGTAACCCTTGGAAGGTTAGTGTTTGTGTTTTGGCTCATCTTGGTTGACTGGGTCTTATGGTATCCAATCTGAGTGGTTAGGAAGTTCAGTGATATGCTTTTAGGCATACAAAAAACTGATACATTTGTTGTCATACTAGCCAAGGTTCAGACAGTTGTCACATTAACACTAAGAGCTGGACTTGATCCTTTGTGGTGTATGGTAACTCTTCTCAGTTTCACACCTCAAATTGCAACAAGTACAGTCTGAGTATTCTGTGGTAACAGACCTTTAAGACTGTGGTTAAAACTCACAGCTTTAATAGGAATTCTTTACAAAATTATTTTTACAAACAATGTCTTGCAAAGAATTTTGTTAATGGGAAAAGGAGGTGGAAGAGGAGGAGGCTGGTAGAGAGCAGCTGTCTTGGGATGTGCTACAATCCTGCTTTATGAATGATGAAACTGATAGTTGTTTGAACAATGGTCTGGTGATACCAATTAAATATGGAAAAAGACACTTATGTACAGTTCATGATATTTATTATAGGAAATGTTTCACCATGAGTGACTTCTTCAGACTGAGGAAGCCACTTGTATTGAAATGTTTCCTCTAATAAATGTCCTGAACTGTACATGATAGTTGTTTACTTTGAGTGTGGTGTGTGTTAGTGTGTGTGAGTGTGATTGTGTGAGTGTGTGTGAGTGTGATTGTGTGTGTGAGTGTGACTGTGTGAGTGTGTGTGAGTGTGTGAGTGTGTGTGAGTGTATGTGAGTACTCACCTAGTTGAGGTTGCGGGGGTCGAGTCCGAGCTCCTGGCCCCGAAAGTGTGTGTGTGTGTGTGTGTGTGTGTGTGTGTGTACTCACCTAGTTGTACTCCCCTAGTTGAGGTTGCAGGGGTCGAGTCCAAGCTCCTGGCCCCGCCTCTTCACTGATCGCTACTAGGTCACTCTTCCTGAACCGTGTGCTTTATCATACCTCTGCTTAAGGCTATGTATGGATCCTGCCTCTACTACATCGCTTCCCAAACTATTCCACTTACTGACTACTCTGTGGCTGAAGAAATACTTCCTAACATCCCTGTGATTCATCTATGTCTTCAACTTCCAACTGTGTCCCCTTGTTGCTGTGTCCCATCTCTGGAACATCCTGTCTTTGTCCACCTTGTCAATTCCTCTCAGTATTTTGTATGTCGTTATCATGTCCCCCCTATCTCTCCTGTCCTCCAGTGTCGTCAGGTTGATTTCCCTTAACCTCTCCTCGTAGGACATACCTCTTAGCTCTGGAACTAGTCTTGTTGCAAACCTTTGAACTTTCTCTAGTTTCTTTACGTGCTTGGCTAGGTGTGGGTTCCAAACTGGTGCCGCATACTCCAATATGGGCCTAACGTACACGGTGTACAGGGTCCTGAACAATTCCTTATTAAGATGTCGGAATGCTGTTCTGAGGTTTGCTAGGTGCCCATATGCTGCAGCATTTATTTGGTTGATGTGCGCTTCAGGAGATGTGCCTGGTGTTATACTTGCCCCAAGATCTTTTTCCTTGAGTGAGGTTTGTAGTCTCTGGCCCCCTAGACTGTACTCTGTCTGCGGTTTCCTTTGTCCTTCCCCAATCTTCATGACTTTGCACTTGATGGGGTTGAACTCCAGGAGCCAATTGCTGGACCAGGTCTGCAGCCTGTCCAGATCCCTTTGTAGTTCTGCCTGGTCTTCGATCGAATGAATTCCTCTCATCAACTTCACGTCATCTGCAAACAGGGACACTTCGGTGCCCACTCTGACACCTCGCCACGTACGTGTGTGTGTGTGTGTGTGTGTGTGTGTGTGTGTGTGTGCGTGTGCGTGCGTGCATGCGTGCGTGTGCACACATTCAATTTATGGCTTATTTTTTCATATAATTTCATGCATTTTTAAATCGGTTTCTCAAGTACTTTCAGTTTCTTCTCATCTTTGTTGGAAATACAGATTATAATTTTCTTATTTATTTCTGTATATGTATAAAATGAATTGTTTCTATGCATTTGTATTTGCCGGATCATAATTATCACGTATTGTATAGTTATCCCCTGCTTAGCAAACATTTGCAAGAAAGGCAATATTAAGCAGCATATTCATTTAGCAATCTCTTGCAGTGTCTTGTAACAAAGATAGTGAAGGGTTCATATCATTCCAAGAACAAACACGTACAAAGGCCAACACTTGTGCTGGATTGCTCCTGCATATGTGAAGATTTGCTAGTCCACACTACACCCTTTTGTGTTGAGCAGTAAACGTGGGGAGGTTGTGTAGGCATGTTAAGGATTAAGGATTTTATTTCTTTCCATAGTATACAGTGTATAATACAATTTTGATTTGCTAAGTACAAAGAAAGCCACTATCATGCCGGGGCATTTTGGGCAGACCGAACCTAATGCTTAACAGACTAGGTATTTTTTTTTTTTTTTTTTTTTTTTCCAACCAGTCGGTCGTCTCCCACCGAGGCAGGGTGACCCAAAAAAAAGAAAGAAAATCCCCAAAAAGAAAATACTTTCATCATCATTCAACACTTTCACCACACTCACACATTATCACTGCTTTTGCAGAGGTGCTCAGAATACAACAGTTTAGAAGCATATACGTATAAAGATACACAACATATCCCTCCAAACTGCCAATATCCCAAACCCCTCCTTTAAAGTGCAGGCACTGTACTTCCCATTTCCAGGACTCAAGTCCGACTATATGAAAATAACCGGTTTCCCTGAATCCCTTCACTAAATATTACCCTGCTCACACTCCAACAGATCATCAGGTCCCAAGTATCATTCGTCTCCATTCACTCCTATCTAACACGCTCATGCACGCTTGCTGGAAATCCAAGCACCTCGCCCACAAAACCTCCCTTTTTACCCCCTTTTTCCCAAAACCCTTAGAGGACGACCCCTACCCCTTTTTCCTTCCCCTATAGATTTATATGCTTTCCATGTCATTTACTTTGATCCATTCTCTCTAAAGACCAAACCACCTCAAAAACCCCCCTCTTCTGCCCTTGACTAATGTTTTTTATTAACTCCAACCCTTCTCCTAATTTCCACACTCTGAATTTTCTGCATAATATTTACACCACACATTGCCTTAGACAGGACATCTCCACTGCTCCAACCGTCTCCTCGCTGCTTTCATTTACCACCCAAGCTTCACATCCATATAAGAGTGTTGGTACTACTATACTTTCATACATTCCCTTCTTTGCCTCCATAGATAACGTTTTTTGACTCCACATATACCTCAACGCACCACTCACCTTTTTTCCCTCATCAATTCTATGATTAACCTCATCCTTCATAAATCTCACGCCACACGTCAACTCCCAAGTATCTGAAAACATTCACTTCTTCCATATCCTCCTCCCCAATTTGATATCCAATTTTTCTTTATCTAAATCATTTGATACCCTCATCACCTTACTCTTTTCTATGTTCACTTTCAACTTTCTACCTTTACACACATTCTCAAACTCATCCACTAACCTTTGTAATTTTTCTTTAGAATCTTCCATAAGCACAGTATCATCAGCAAAAAGTAACTGTGTCATTCCCATTTTGAATTTGATTCCCCATAATTTAATCCCACCCCTCTCCCGAACACCCTAGCATTTACTTCTTTTACAACCCCATCTATAAATATATTAAACAACCATGGTGACATTACACATCCCTGTCTAAGACTTACTTTTACGGGAAGTATTCTCCCTCTCTTCTACACACCCTAACCTGAGCCTCACTATCCTCATAAAAGCTCTTTACAGCATTTAGTAACTTACCACCTATTCCATATACTTGCAACATCTGCCACATTGCTCCTCGATCCACTCTATCATATGCCTTTTCTAAATCCATAAATGCAATAAAAACTTCCCTACCTTTATCTACAATACTGTTCACATATATGCTTCAATGTAAACACTTGATCTACACACCCCCTTACCCACTCTGAACCTCCTTGCTCATCCGCAATTCTACATTCTGTCTTACCTCTAATTCTTTCAATTATAACCCTACCGTATACTTTTCCTGGTATACTCAGTGAACTTATTCCTCTATAATGTTTACAATCTCTTTTGTCCCCTTTCCCTTTATATAAAGGGACTATACATGCTCTCCGCCAATCCCTAGGTACCTTCCCCTCTTTCATACATTTATTAAACAAAAGTACCAACCACTCCAACACTATATCCCCCCCTGCTTTTAACATTTCTGTCATGATCCCATCAGTTCCAGCTGCTTTACCCCTTTTCATTCTACGTAATGCCTCACGTACCTCCACCACACTTACATTCTGCTCTTCTTCACTCCTAAAAGATGGTATACCTCCCTGGCCAGTGCATGAAATTACCGCCTCCCTTTCTTCCTCAACATTTAAAAGTTCCTCAAAATATTCTGCCGTCTACCTAATACCTCCTCTCCCCATCTACTAACTCCCCTACTCTGTTTTTAACTGACAAATCCATACTATCCCTAGGCTTTCTTAACTTGTTTAACTCACTCCAAAATTTTTCTTATTTTCATTAAAATTTCTTGACAGTGCCTCTCCCACTCTTCATCTGCTCTCCTTTTGCACTCTCTCACCACTCTCTTCACCTTTCTTTTACTCTCCATATACTCTGCTCTTCTTATAACACTTCTGCTTTGTAAAAACCTCTCGTAAGCTACCTTTTTCTCTTTTATCACACCCTTTACTTCATCATTCCACCAAATCACTCCTCTTCCCTCCTGCCCCCACCCTCCTATAACCACAAACTTCTGACTAGGTATATATATCATAATTAGTTCGAATTTAACATTGTTTTTATTTATATTTTAACAGAGGTAGTTAGGGGTTTAGCTGTTTTTATTTATATTTTAACAGAGGTAGTTAGGGGTTTAGCGGTAATTTAATTAAGTAATTAATTAACAAGTTTAGTTACAGTAGATTAATTATTTATCCAGAGAGTTCAGTTAGTATGGCGAATTTTACATTGTGAATTAGCATTTAAAACGTAATTACATTAACCATTGGAGTGTGGGGGCACTGTATTATATTTTGGCACATTTTACATAATGTGATTGAGACTATTTTTGAAACCATGTTTGAGAGTATTAGACCAGTGTGTGTGTGTGGAGGGAAGTGCTTTTGGAATTTGATTTGCTAGATTGTGAGCGAGGTGAATAGTACAGTATCAGCTGGCTAGTTTGAGGAGTATGGGTATAAAGACAGTATGTAAGACAACTCTTTATTGGGACTTCATGTGCTCAGGGTCGAGCTTTATCAAGCTGTAAAATGATGATGATAAAGCTAAATTTTTGTTGAGCTTGTTTCCCTCAAGGGAGCGTTCTCTGATGCCAGTGAAGGGCTCTTAATCCAAGGAATTGGACTTGCCCTTCTCTTCCTTGGATCAAACCTGAATGCCTCCCATAAATAATAATAATAATAATAATAATAATAATAATAATAATAATAATAATAGGCACTAATAACCCCCTTCTCCTGTATGAATTACTGAATTTAAAAAGAAAAACTTAATGTTTCTTTTTAGGTCTCCCCCGCCTCAGTGGGAGACGGCCAGTTCATTGAAAACAATAATAATAATAATGTTGAGCTTGTTCTTCATATTGTGGCTTTACATACATGGCTAGTGTGACTTGAATTTTGAAAACTGGGAAGAACAGTATCTCCACTGTGAATGTGGGGTGAGGAGGACAGGGTTCCACCAGTCACCATTGGATTGCACTGTTTTTCTTAGTTGTGTTGGCTTCTTGGTCTCAATCACTTATAATTCACTGTGATACATTCCTAACCCCCATCATAGCCTCTGTTATAAATTTATCTCCACTACCTCCCATTTCTTATCCCGTAAACGGTCCAAGCAGATCTGCGTTCACATGCGTAGTGCTCCAAAAGTAGATCTACGTTTTTTTTACATATTTTCAAATATATAAAAAAAAGTAGATCATAGTTTTTTACACGTTTTCAAATGTACAAAAAAAAAGATCTGCTTTTTTTACATACTTTCAAATGTTGAAAAAATGTATATATACGTTTGGACCGTTTATGGGTTAAATGGCAGCATAGTTTGAGGTGAAAATAAAAATATAGCGTATTTAAGACATTAAAGTTATGAATGAAGTTTACTTTTAACAGATTTATAGTTTGCTTTTGCGACTTTCTTGACGTGAGGTACAAAAAATTTAGTCTTCCCACAAGATTATGAATGAAGTTGTTAATATTTTTCAGTGTTGCCAGGTAATGTGCACTGTTAGCAAGTGTAAACTTGGAAGTCGCTATTATCACTGTTGTTGTATCAGCCAGTGACTATAAACAAGCATAGTAGAATGATAAGGAATTTATTCGAGTAGAATCTTGGCAGTGTCAAACATTTTGTTGCTTTACATTGAGTAATCATGATCTGCAAACTTTATTCAAGAGTTTACCTAGCTGTTTACCTAGTAATTTATATCCACAAACTATTAAAGATTCTGTCTGTATATATTCTAAGTAGTAGTGTATACCTGGAGTATACCTGGACCTACAAATTTTTTAATCTGTTTCTAGATATGATGTACATGTGGTGATCAGTAAACTCCAGTGTTCTTATTACTTAGTACCTGCACTCTGAAGGAGGGGTGGGGATATTTGCAGTTTTGAACTGTAGTGTTGGTGCCCCTCTGGCAAGACAGTAATGGAATGAGGGATGGTGAATTTATATTTGACCATGTATGTGTCTTGCACAGTGCAGCAGTATCTTAAAGGGCACAGACAGGCAGGATAAAATAAATATATTGTTGGTTATACTTTTTATTGCTTGTATTAATGTTCACTAATGGTATTTCCCAAGGGACTGTGATAGAGAGCGTGACCGAGACCGGGAAAGACAAGATCGAGATAGAGAGCGTGACCGCCGGCGTGATCGTCCTCGCAAAGATGGTGGTGGTAATGACCGCAGTAGTATTGAGAGTATACCTGCTGGAAATGGTTAGTAACTTCATAGTGGTGTTAACATCATATTAGAGCTTAGAGTAAGAATTACTTTTATGTTAATTGCTAAACTTAGTTTGGTTAATTTGTATATTTCCTTTTTTCTTTGGCATAATTATATTGCAGTATTTCCACTTCTCTCTTACCTGGGGTTAGGAAGCTATGCAGAGTAACACCCTGTATTTTATATTTTTTTTCCACCAACCTGTAGTCCATCCTCAGACTGTTTTAGCCACAGTGAAATAATGACTTTAATTAAATTAAAGTCAGCATTCACTGTGGCTAAGACAGTCAGATGGATGACTGTTACATAAATCTTAAACAGTGATTGTCTGACTGTGTGTTGTAGAGTGCACTCAGTGGGTCTTTGCTTTGCTATAATTGGTTAATTTTTATTAATATAAGACAATTTAACTGAACTAAACATACTCTAACCTAACCTAAACAGTATAAAGTGAGAAATTTGCTGAAGTTAGTACACACATTGACTTTGAATTTAGGAGGACAAGTTGTATCATGACAGGAGCTTCCACACCAGACTCTAGCAACATATAATAGTACTCAAGCTAATATACACGGTTTAGCCCTTAAACTTTCCAAACGTAGATCTACGTTCATGTGCGTAGCGCTCCAACCTTTATTTTCTCCATTTGAAACCACGTAAAAAAAAACGTAGACCTACGTTCGGAGCGCTACGCATGTCAACGTAGATCTACGTTTGGACAGTTTAAGGGTTAATAACATAACTACTAATGGCAATAATGTTCTTATTAACAACAACAATAATAAATGTGTAGCTGGAGCAGACTTGATATAACAACAACAGGGTTGATGTTACAAAACTTGGAGTTGTAGATATTTTTTTTTTTTTAACACGTCGGTTGTCTCCCACCGAGGCAGGGTGACTCAAAAAGAAAGAAAATCCCCAAAAAGAAAATACTTTCATCATCATTCAACACTTCCACCTCACTCACACATAATCACTGTCTTTGCAGAGGTGCTTAGATATGATAGTTCAGAAGTCCCTCCAAACTGCCAATATCCCAAACCCCTTCTTTAAAGTGTAGGCATTGTACATGGGCCACTTGCCTTGATTCCTCCTCTTCCCCACCTTCCCATCCTTTTCCAGTTATTTCCATCCTTCCTTATCCTTCTTCCTTCCCATCTTACGACAGCTCTCGTCGTCCTCGATTCTATTCGACTTCCCATTTCCAGGTCTCAGGTCCGGCTAACTTGTTTCCCTGAATCCCTTCACAGAATATTACCCTGCTCGCACTCCAACAGCTCGTCAGATCCCAAAAACCCATTCGTCTCCATTCACTCATATCTAACACGCTCATACATGCTTGCTGGAAGTCCAAGCCTCTTGTCCACAAAACTTCCTTTACCCCCTCCCTCCATCCTTTTTTGAGGACAACCCCTACCCTGCCTTCCCTCCACTACAGATTTATACACTCTCCAAGTCATTCTACTCTGATCCATTCTCTCTAAATGACCAAACCACTTCAGCAACTCCTCTTCAGCCCTCTGACTAATACTTTTAGTAACTCCTCACCTTCTCCTAATTTCCACACTCCAAATTCTCTGCATAATATTTACACCACACATTGCCCTTAGACAGGACATCTGCATTGCCTCCAGCTGCCTCCTTGCTGCAGCATTTACAACCCAAGCTTCACACCTATATAAGAGTGTTGGTACCACTATACTTTCATACATTTTCTTCTTTGCCTCCATAGATAATGTTTTTTGTCTCCACATATACCTCAACGCACCACTTGCCTTTTTTCCTCCATCAATTCTATGGTTAACCTCATCCTTCATAAATCCATCTGCTGACAAGTCAACTCCCAAATATCTGAAAACATTCACTTCTTCCATACTTCCTCTCTCCAATGTGATATCCAGTTTTTCTTTATTTAAATCATTTGATACCCCTCATCACCATACTCTTATCTATGTTCACCTTCAACTTTCTACATACATACATACCCATCTAGGTTTCCTTCTATTTTCTTAATAGTTTTTGTTCTTTATTTCCTCTTATCTCCATGGGGAAATGGAACAGAATTCTTCCTTCGTAAGCCATGTGTGTCATAAGAGGCAACTAAAATGCTGGAAGCAAGGGGCTAGTAGCCCCTACTTCTGTATAAATTACTAAATGTAAAATGAAAAACTTTTCTTTCTTTTTAGGTCACCCTGTCTTGATGGGAGACAGCCAGTTTGTTGAAAAAAAAAATAATGCTTAGTTTATTAGTTATTTGAGATTCTTTAATTAATAGCATTTTCTCCCTTTCTGTGTAGGTAATGTACAAATACAGCCCATGGACGGCACCAACCCACCAGGCTCGGGTTTTGGTCCCATGGGTCCAGGACCTGGTCCATGGGGGCCTATGTGGGGTCCTCCTGGAGGACCTATGGGTCCATTGGGGCCTATGGGACCAATGGGAGGGCCTATGGGACCAATGGGAGGGCCAATGGGACCTATGGGTCCTATGGGGCCAATGGGACCTATGGGACCACCTGGTGAAGGTCCACCAATGGTGAGTTAACAGATTTTTGTGATCATGGCAACAAGCGTCATTAGTCAAAATTTTATCCCCTTAAGTGTCAGTGGCGTAGTTCTACGCTATGATCTCAGCTCACTGAGATAAGCTGTGAGTGGTAAATTTGAGCCTAGATATGAGAGAATGAATCCGTGTGGTAAGTGTGCACTGTATAAAAAAATTCCTGCAGCATGCAGTGCATAATGAGAAAAAAAAACTTTTTGGTTTAAAACAGTGACTTTGCGGTGTATTTTCGTGTGGTTTTTATGGTTGTATTCTCAGTTTCTTGGTTTCATTTGATGCATTGGAAGATATATTACAAAAATAGTGATGATTTTGATTGGTTTCAGGAATGAAAATAGCTTGAAATTGAGCTCAAATTGGCAGAAATGTTCGAACTTTGCCAATATTCCAGAGTGCACAAATTATGTCACTCGTCTAATACGTGTCTATCCGATGAGTCTAATGTGTGGTCACAAATGAGTTGATGTTATTTATACAATTGCAATAATTCATAACAGTAAATCTTATTTTTTTATGTGAATAAAAATTTAAAATGGGATTCATGTGTGAAGCCTGAGAATATAACTAATGAACAGAAGAAATGTTATTTTAGTGCCAGGAATGCCTGCATTGTTTATTGTGGACCCTATTTTGAAAATGGCATATTTTGAACCTTGTGTGAAATTGGCCAAATTACTTATTGGGTGGTTTCTTTTGCTCACTTGATAAAATTGAAAACATACTATCAAAATACCCAAGAATTTGGTTGCCTGGAATAATGTAACTGGCGTAAAATAGGACACAGAGTAGGCAAAATTGCCAAAGCGTAAATATCACTGACATCAAAATTTGCAGTAATATAATTTCATAAATTTTCTATCAAATTTCATATGTTTTATTTTATTACCTTCAGAAAAAGATTCTCTACCATTTCATAAGATTTTTTTTTTTTTTTTTTTCAAAATTCTTGGACACTGTGGATACCTTTCAGATCGGAGGTCTGGACACTCACAAGGTTAATTACATTTTATTGATTATGGTAACAAATATCATTAGTCAAGCTTTAATTACATTATCATGGTAACAAACATCATTAGCCATTTTAATTACATTTTAGTGATCATAACAAATATCGTTGGCCAAATGTTAATTAAGTTTTGCAAATTCCTTGTAGCATTTTTTGTAGCATCAAATTTTGGTTAATCATTGAATCAGTCTGGAGGTGAGAGATGTATGTACACATCTAGAAATTCATAGATGGGTATTTTTTCCCATAGTAAATGGCTGTCCTCTACTTCATAATTATTGTGGTCTTTTCTGTGTTTACTGCTACTAGACTTTTGTTGAAGTATTGTAGTATTTAGTGGCATTGATAGTTTTTTCTCTATAGGACTGAGGTTTATTGATTACTCTACCTTGGTGGGAGACAGCCAGTGTTAAAGAAAAATTGAGATTTGCTTATATTTTAACAATTGTGATTCAGAGTGTGTGTGTCTTGCATCTAGTGTCTGCACCTAATATATTTAATTATTTGTCTATTATTTTTGCCACTATTCATGTCTTTAATTTTGTATGACATTTATTCTTTGGGGTTCACCTTTAGATGAATCTTTGTTTATATTTATGTTAGGACAAAGTATACATGTATAGGCATTCAAATTTTGAGTACAATTAACAAATTCCTCTTTAAGAATGAATGGGAAAGTGAAGGTGAGTGCTGTAATAGTTTAGAGAGTTGAATGAGTTCTTATTAAGCACTTGAATATAATAGAGGTCTGCTGTACTCAGTACCAGTTAAGGACCAATATTTAATGTCTTGTCAGTGTTGTCTGCCACACTAGGTTGGCAAGTATTTTTGGTGGTGTTTGATGTGATGCTTAAAATAAATGGAGCTGAGAAATATTTGTGGAAATTCTTGCGTGGTTGAGTACTGGATAAACAAAACTTGAATATTATGGCTGGTTTAGGTCAATATTAGTTTAAAGCCTTATATGTAAGATAGCCATTTGTGTTGTAAGAGGCAACTAAAATGCTGGGAACAAGGGGCTAGTACAAATTACATACTAACTTTAAAAAGAAAATCTTTTGTTTTTCTTTTTAAGTCACCCTGCCTCAGTGGGATATGGCTGGTGTATTAAAAAAATATAAGATAGAGCTAACAAGTTTTCACAGTGGTGTTTGAATATCATAAAATAACTTCAGGTGGTTAAAACCACCCTTGACACACTATACAGTGGCAGCATTTACTAGTGGTCAAGGCAGCTCCACTGACACTTCACCAGCCAGGAGCAGTGTTTTGTTGCTTGCTGTGAACCAGTCAGTTGGCAATTAGCTAGCAGTTTGGAGAGTTTGTTTCTCCTTAACCATTATTAAATCAAGAGGTAGCTTGTCATAATGTTTTTTCCTATTTTCTGTCTCGTATTACTAATGACACAGATTTAGTTGAAATGGCATCTGTTCTCCTCTGCAAATTGTTAGTAATGAATTGTTCCAGCCATGGTACCAACTTGTCTTCTTCAAGCCAGTCAGCATTGACTATGCCTACTGTTGCAGTCTTTCAAGAAACATGGCTCTATTATTTCATAGTATTTGTGTGCATTTTGATACTTTTTTTTTATTATTATTATTCAACATGTCTGCACAATTTTTACCATTTTCTATTTGTATACTAGTTTGCTGTCTTTTATAAAGGTTCAATAATGTTGCTGAGGAGCTAACTTGGTTCTTGTGCATGTTGTTTCAGTACCCAGGGTTGTAGCTCCTCTGGTCCTAGTACTGTTTACTTGGCATTATTTGCTAGTACAATGCATTATTTACATTACTCACTTCATTGGGTTCTGCTGGAGCTGTTGGTTGGTGTCTTAATTCAGTTTACAGTATACATATGGGCACCATTCGTACAGATCCAAAGGTTCGTGACCCCAAACAATAAGTGAAAATTGCCAGCATGTGGAAAAGAGCAGTTTTTCATTATTGAATGCATCTAAAATACCTGATATATTTACACTACCTGGAGTCTACCTGGAGGGTATTCCCGGGATCAATGCTCCCATGGCCCTGTCCATGACCAGGCCTCCTGGTGGATCAGGGCCTGATCAACTAGGCTGTTACTGCTGGCCACAAACAGTCCAGTGTACAAACCACAGCCCATCTGATTTGGCACTGGCTTTAGGTATCTGTCCAGCTCTCTCTTGAAGATAGCCAAGAGTCTATTGGTAATTTCTCTTATGGCTGGTGGGAGGCTGTTGAACAGTTTGGGCCCCGGACACTTATTGTGTTTTCTCTAAGTGTACTAATGGTGCCCCTACTTTTCATTGGTGGTGTGTTGCACTGCCTGCCAAGTCTTTTGCTTTCATAAAGAGTGATTTCTGTGTGCAGATTTGGGACCAGTCACTCTTGGATTTTCCATGTATTGATTATGATTGATCTCTCTTCCCTGTATTTCAATATATTAAGTGCTCAATACAGCTAGGCATAAAAGAAACAGATAAAGTAAAATAAATACACATGTAAAATAAATATACATGTTTATAGAGGGGCCACAGATATATCAGATCACTTTCTAGTTGTAGCTACACTGAGAGTAAAAGGTAGATGGGATACAAGGAGAATAGAAGCATCAGGGAAGAGAGAGGTGAAGGTTTATAAACTAAAAGAGGAGGCAGTTAGGGTAAGATATAAACAGCTATTGGAGGATAGATGGGCTAATGAGAGCATAGGCAATGGGGTCGAAGAGGTATGGGGTAGGTTTAAAAATGTAGTGTTAGAGTGTTCAGCAGAAGTTTGTGGTTACAGGAAAGTGGGTGCAGGAGGGAAGAGGAGCGATTGGTGGAATGATGATGTAAAGAGAGTAGTAAGGGAGAAAAAGTTAGCATATGAGAAGTTTTTACAAAGTAGAAGTGATGCAAGGAGGGAAGAGTATATGGAGAAAAAGAGAGAAGTTAAGAGAGTGGTGAAGCAATGTAAAAAGAGAGCAAATGAGAGAGTGGGTGAGATGTTATCAACAAATTTTGTTGAAAATAAGAAAAAGTTTTGGAGTGAGATTAACAAGTTAAGAAAGCCTAGAGAACAAATGGATTTGTCAGTTAAAAATAGGAGAGGAGTTATTAAATGGAGAGTTAGAGGTATTGGGAAGATGGAAGGAATATTTTGAGGAATTGTTAAATGTTGATGAAGATAGGGAAGCTGTGATTTCGTGTATAGGGCAAGGAGGAATAACATCTTGTAGGAGTGAGGAAGAGCCAGTTGTGAGTGTGGGGGAAGTTCGTGAGGCAGTAGGTAAAATGAAAGGGGGTAAGGCAGCCGGGATTGATGGGATAAAGATAGAAATGTTAAAAGCAGGTGGGGATATAGTTTTGGAGTGGTTGGTGCAATTATTTAATAAATGTATGGAAGAAGGTAAGGTACCTAGGGATTGGCAGAGAGCATGCATAGTTCCTTTGTATAAAGGCAAAGGGGATAAAAGAGAGTGCAAAAATTATAGGGGATAAGTCTGTTGAGTGTAAACCCGGTAAAGTGTATGGTAGAGTTATAATTGAAAGAATTAAGAGTAAGACGGAGAATAGGATAGCAGATGAACAAGGAGGCTTTAGGAAAGGTAGGGGGTGTGTGGACCAGGTGTTTACAGTGAAACATATAAGTGAACAGTATTTAGATAAGGCTAAAGAGGTCTTTGTGGCATTTATGGATTTGGAAAAGGCGTATGACAGGGTGGATAGGGGGGCAATGTGGCAGATGTTGCAAGTGTATGGTGTAGGAGGTAGGTTACTGAAAGCAGTGAAGAGTTTTTACGAGGATAGTGAGGCTCAAGTTAGAGTATGTAGGAAAGAGGGAAATTTTTTCCCAGTAAAAGTAGGCCTTAGACAAGGATGTGTGATGTCACCGTGGTGTTTAATATATTTATAGATGGGGTTGTAAGAGAAGTAAATGCGAGGGTCTTGGCAAGAGGCGTGGAGTTAAAAAGATAAAGAATCACACATAAAGGGGGAGTTGTCACAGCTGCTCTTTGCTGATGACACTGTGCTCTTGGGAGATTCTGAAGAGAAGTTGCAGAGATTGGTGGATGAATTTGGTAGGGTGTGCAAAAGAAGAAAATTAAAGGTGAATACAGGAAAGAGTAAGGTTATGAGGATAACAAAAAGATTAGGTGATGAAAGATTGAATATCAGATTGGGGGGAGAGAGTATGGAGGAGGTGAACGTATTCAGATATTTGGGAGTGGACGTGTCAGCAGATGGGTCTATGAAAAATGAGGTGAATCATAGAATTGATGAGGGAAAAAGAGTGAGTGGTGCACTTAGGAGTCTGTGGAGACAAAGAACTTTGTCCTTGGAGGCAAAGAGGGGAATGTATGAGAGTATAGTTTTACCAACGCTCTTATATGGGTGTGAAGCGTGGGTGATGAATGTTGCAGCGAGGAGAAGGCTGGAGGCAGTGGAGATGTCATGTCTGAGGGCAATGTGTGTGTGTGAATATTTAAAGCAGAGAATTCGTAGTTTGGAAGTTAGGAGGAGGTGGGGGATTACCAAAACTGTTGTCCAGAGGGCTGAGGAAGGGTTGTTGAGGTGGTTCGGACATGTAGAGAGAATGGAGCGAAACAGAATGACTTCAAGAGTGTATCAGTCTGTAGTGGAAGGAAGGCGGGGTAGGGGTCGGCCTAGGAAGGGTTGGAGGGAGGGGGTAAAGGAGGTTTTGTGTGCGAGGGGCTTGGACTTCCAGCAGGCATGCGTGAGCGTGTTTGATAGGAGTGAATGGAGACAAATGGTTTTTAATACTTGACGTGCTGTTGGAGTGTGAGCAAAGTAACATTTATGAAGGGATTCAGGGAAACCGGCAGGCCGGACTTGAGTCCTGGAGATGGGAAGTACAGTGCCTGCACTCTGAAGGAGGGGTGTTAATGTTGCAGTTTAAAAACTGTAGTGTAAAGCACCCTTCTGGCAAGACAGTGATGGAGTGAATGATGGTGAAAGTTTTTCTTTTTCGGGCCACCCTGCCTTGGTGGGAATCGGCCGGTGTGATAATAAAAATAAAATATAATACCTACATTAAAATACGGCGTTGTTCATCCTTCCTTTACACGACTGTTGTACAAAATTGGTGATAACTGCAAAAGAGTGGTAAGAGCACTGAACATAATGAATAATGGCTCAGGTGAAAGGCAACAAAAATGTGGAACACCGAAAAGTGGGACCTGTATACACGGGGCCCTCCTGTATACAAAGTTTCTTCTCCCTTTCCCTGGAGGGGATGCCTTAATGCTGGTAAAATGCTCTTGATCCAAGGAGCTGAGTCTAACCTCCTTTTTCTTAGGTCACCCGATTACCTCCCATTTTTCAGGCACTGTATGACCCGTGTGTGTTTAGCCCTTACCCCTTGAATAATAACTATAATATTGAACTGTGATGTGTATATCTAGAAAAGCGTCTGGTAACAATTAAGTGTTTTTTCTTTGGCTCTTCCTGTTTTAATGATAAATAATGGATGTGATAAAATTTGAAGTCATTAAAATTTTGTCTGGATAATTCTAATTTTATGGACTAAGATTTTTGATTGTAAGAATAGTTGTAAACTAAAATGTTTCAGAGTGGCGATTTCCGTATTACATGGGGCATGTTTGGCTGGATGATGTCTCCTGAAGGCCTGACAGTTCCCATGAAAAACCCTTTACATTGCAAAACTTGTGTCCTAGTACCACCAAACCGCCTTGCCCCACCACCAACTACACGAGAACGACCTCTTGGCTGCAGAACTATCTTTGTTGGTGGCCTTCCTGAAAATGTTACAGGTATAGTGTTTGTGGGATTTGTATTGACTTTGTTGATGTCTTCCTTAGAGTTGTTGATGTCATATAAAGTTTGTTGATGTCTTTGTTAGATTTATTGATGTCTTTTTATTTTCATTCAGTTTTGTATAGAATTGTAAGATTTGATCCAGTCTTATGGAATATAGATGAGCTAAATGCTTATACTTGGTTCATGAGACTTTAATACAGTACAGGTCTTCCTTGTTTTGTATTATGAATATATTCCAGGTTATTCATAGCTATACTAAACTCAGGCTATAAACTCAATTTTGTGTTGTATATCACATATACTGAATTATAGATAGAAATAAGACATTGCATAATAGCAAATTAACTTTGCAAAGGCAAACCTGTACAATAGTAATATTATTAAGGTTACTTAGTGTTGCAGAATTAGAGCTTACCATATTTTCTTTTATGGGTTTCATAGATCTTTTAAACTAAAAAAAAAATCAAAAGTTTTCTTGTAAGGTTTTCATTATAGTGCATTGAGTTAATCCATTCCTGTATTGATCATTGTTCTCGTATGTTGAACATCTGTTCTTGCTTTTAAAATGCCTGTTTGGCAGGAATATGCAGCAGCCTTGCCTCCACTCAGCCTTCTTGTCAGGCTTTATAATACCCATCTCACAGCTGCTGTTGCTGTTGCTCAGAATTATTGTTCTCTTGTACAAAATTCTAGAATTATTTACATCAACAATTAATTTTTCCACTTGAATTTTTTTGCAGATATCTTTGATATGTTTTTCTTGCAAAGGAGAAAAGCATTGTTATTGGCAAGACACATTCTTATTAGGTGTTGCCTCTATTATTTATAAGAATTAAATTCAGGTTTGTTAGTGTGAATAAATATTTAGTGCATTTTGCAACTCAACTATTTTTGTAAAACAGTTATATACCCAGTATTACTGTTATATTTCATTGTAACAGCAGCAACTTTCTCCCCTGGGGCCACCTATGTGACCCTGGGTAATTCCCCTGTCACCATGTATACACATCCAGCTCCACCCTTCCTTCCCTCCCTGCAGCCTGCTATGCAGCTATGTAGGTCAAGGTTACATCTTGCATCTGATGACTTTCACCATGCTGGTAGCTAGGCTACCAGCATGCATTCACTATTACAGTTACAGAGAGTAAGGGACAAGCATGACTGGCAGTGTTAGGGATGTTATAGTGTCTTTTAAGTATCTCACAGTTGTAAAAAGTTGGTTTTATATGGCACAGTCTTATACTGTAACTGCTGTTAATACAGTCATCTACACAGCTTTGGTATAAGAATATCACTGTCTGTATGGCTCATGTATGTTGCTCTACATAGCCATCCACAGGGTACAGTGGAGAATCTGTAGAAGAAAATCATTATTAACTTAGTAGAATCAGCTGGTATTGTTCTGTGAACATATTCAACATGCGCGAGGTAAAGCAATATGTTGCAGAGGAGATCGTCAGAGACGTCTTCGAGCGCTGTGGGGAGATAACGACAATTCGCCTGAGCAAAAAGAATTTCTGCCACATACGATATGAGCTCGAAGAATTTGTTGACAATGCCATTTTTCTGTCAGGTAAGCAAATTATTACTAAAGTTCCGAGAGAGAATTCCTCTTTTGTCTCATTATAATATTAGTTGCTTTTGAATATTCTTGAGTAATAATCCACATACATTCTCTTAAAATAATCTACCAGTTATATTCTTAAGTATTATATTATTACTGCTAGTGCAGTACGATATTTAGCTAATGCAGTTACCCACCACTTGTCCCAAATTGATGGTACCTGATGTGGTTGAATAACTATCATATTTACATACCTGATTGATTGGTGTTACTTCACATAGCAAAGGAACAAAGGAGGAAGGGAATAATAATAATAATTGATAATTAAACTGTAGTATCGGCACGCCTCGGGCAAGACAGTGATAGAGTGAGTGACGATGGAAGTGTTTCTTCTTTTTCGGGTCACTCCCACCTTGGTGGGAAATGGCCGATGTATTAAAAAAATAATAATAATGTAATAATACATCTTGTATTTATATTGAATCTTATAAGTGAGTGCTACATAGATTAGGGTAAGGAGATGTTAGTTACATTTATGGATTTAGAAAAGGAGTTCTACGTTTGCCTGAAATTTTTAAGTTGTGTTCAGGGAGGAGAGTCATCAACATAATTTTTTAAAGGAAGTAATGAAATATGCATTTTTAAAGATGTCTAAATTAGTGAGAGTGAATAAAGTGTGTTTTTTGTATTGCAGGGTACAGAATGCGCATTAATAACAGCACAGAGGCAGCCAACACTGGTAGACTACATGTAGACTATGCCCAAGCCAGGGATGATCAGTGAGTCTTTTAAAAGTTGTGTGCTTCTACCCCTCAAGGAAGGTTCCTTGATGTTGGTGAGGGGCTCTTGATTTAGGGAATTGGATCTGTGCTCCAGTTCCCCAAATTAAGCCTGAATGCCTTCCACATCCCCCCCCCCCCAGGCGCTGTATAATCCTCCGGGTTTAGCGCTTCCCCCTTGATTATAATAATAATAATAATGTGTGCTTCTACCCCCATCTCCACCCTACTTTGCTGGAATATGATAGGAAACTATACCTTTTGTTTCCGCCATGCATCTCGTATAAATTAACATACACTAGAATCTTGTGTATCATGCATCCAGGAATAATGTTTTCAATAAATTTCTACTGAAATATTTTGTGTGGGAAAGTTAGCAGTCAATTGTGCCATAAAGTTTTGAAAAAATAAAGATATGGGAAATTTCCTTAAGTTGGCAGAAATTGAGAGGATCCATGTTATTGCTAGAACAGGAGTTTGACACATCATGAAGTATTGCATTCATGAATATGAGCAGTGCAGTAGGCCTACTGGCCCATGCTATGCAGTTCCTAGTCTCAGCCTCTCATACACAACTCTATTGCTAAACCATTACTTTGCTAAGTTAAAACATAACTGAAGAATACTGAAACAGGCCTATAGGCACTTGCTACGTAGGTCTTGTCAAACCCAACTCGTTTTCACTCCTATATTTGTCCAGCCTGTTTTTAAAGCTACTCAAGCTGTTAGCTTTGTTGACTATACTTGGAAATTTGTTTCACCTGTTGACGATGTTTGTGTCAACAAGAATATGAGGCTAAATAAACTTGTTTGTTTTACTTTTATAACTAGATGATCGTAATAATTTAAGGAGTTGTTAAATGTTGAAGGGAGGCATGGATTTCATGCATTGGCCTGGGATGTATAACATCCTTTAGGAGTGAGGAAGTGCCAGTTGTGAGAGTGGTAGAGGTGCATGAGGCTGTAGGTAAAATGAAAGGGGGTAAAGCAGCTGGGATTGATGGGATCATTACAGAAATGTTAAAAGCAGGTGGGATATAGTTTTGGAGTGGTTGGTACTCTTGTTCAGTAAATGTATGTAAGAGGGAAAGGTACCTAGATATCGGCAGTGTGTGTGTGCATAGTTAATTTATATAAAGGAAAGGAGTACAACAGAGTGTAAAAATTAGAGGAAGAAGCCTGTTGAGTATACCAGGTAAAGTGTATGGTAGAGTTATTATTGAATGAATTAATGGTAAGACAGAGAGCAGGATTGCAGATGAACAAGGCGGCTTTAGGAAGGGTAGGGGATGTGTAGACCAAGTGTTTACATTGAAGCATATAAGTGAACAATATATAGATAAAGATAACAAAGTTTTTGTTGCACTCATGGATTTAGAAAAGGCATTTAGAAAAGTCGGACTTGAGTCCTGGAAATGGGAAGTACAATGCCTGCACTTTAAAGGAGGGGTTTGGGATATTGGCAGTTTGGAGGGATATGTTGTGTATCTTTATATGTGTATGCTTCTAGACTGTTGTATTCTGAGCACCTCTGCAAAAACAGTGATAATGTGCGAGTGTGGTGAAAGTGTTGAATGATGATGAAAGTATTTTCTTTTTGGGGATTTTCTTTCTTTTTTGGGTCACCCTGCCTCGGTGGGAGACGGCCGACTTGTTGAAAAAAAAAAAAAAAAAAAAATATGGTAAGATTAATAGGGAAACAATGTGACAGATGTTACATGGTGAAAGTATTTCTTCCTTTTTTTGGGTCACCCTACCTCAGTGGGAGATGACTAGTATGGTAAAAAAAAAAAAAATCCATCTCGGCCTAGTAGGGTTACAGCACCACTTGACACATTTCCAGATAAAGAAGCAATGACTGTAGTGTTACCATAAACTTTCATTTTTGATGAATTACAAAAGTTAGGAAAAATGTGTGGCTTTTTTCAAGGTGTGTTGAACGTAACCTTATTATTCACATATGTTCTTCATTTCATATCACAGCTTCACCTAAAGCTCAGGTTTTCAGGAACATAACTGGCATGATTTGAGATTCTGCTATAGTAGTACATAGTATACTGAAGTTGTTCCCATTGTGGAACTGTCATATAAAGTAGAGTAGTAGCATAGTGTATGTATACCCAAGTCTGTTCAATAAAATTCCAAGTGGTTATCTACCTGTAGATACAGGAGCAAAGCTATAGTTGTGGTTCACATCTTCTGTTAACAGTATGAAGCAACACTAATTGTTTTAATTTTTCAACTTCCTTCTCTGTTAATGATCATAATTTAATAGATTTAAAAATTTCAGGTACGAGTGGGAATGTCGGCAACGGCAGCTACAACGAGAGCAACGACATCGTGAACGTATTGAAGCAGAAAGGTTGCGTCCACCGTCCCCTCCCCCAGTAGTCCACTACTCAGAGCATGAAGCCACTCTTATTGCTGAACAGCTAAAGGGTAATTGCTCTCTAAATATTTAAGTTGAATAATTCTGTATATCTTTTATTTAGAAGAAGGTTGATTGAGAAATCAATTAGTCTTTCCTGATATGAAGGCAAAGAAGAAGCTGTGTTTTGAAGAAATCTCTCTGTTATTAGTAAGAGTTTGTAGGGATAACAAACTGTGTAAGAAATGGCGAGTTTGTAGTATTGAATTTGTAGTTCTACATAATTGCTTAAAAGGTGTCATAAATCTTATTTTTTTTCCTGTAGGTGATGATAGCTTCTCAAAGGCAGCCCAAATTCTCATCACTTGGCTGGAGCGTGGTGATTGCAACAAGCGCAACTCTGGCACTTTCTATGGTATGATTCAGTCAACCAACTCCCATGTACGGCGCCTGATGACAGAAAAGGGCCAGTATGAAGAAGAATTGGCAAAGTTCCGAGAGCAGACGCGAGCACGCATGCAAGGCGTTTTTATGCAGTGTGAGTATCTGTTTAGACAGGTGTAGATAACAGCTCCCCTTTATGACTCACTGATTGGAAAGTACAGTGTGTTATAGAAAAGCATTCTTGTATGTTTATTAATTGTTCATTTTTAATGTACAGTACCATAATTACTGATACCTCAGTTAAATCAGGGAACAAAATTCTACTCGGATGACTTGAACGTTGTTTCAAAAACCGGTCCTTTCTATATTTATCCTAAAAAAATTCTCAGCCTGTAATCCAGGGAAGTTTGCAATTCTTTATTAACATGCTGTTGGATATGGTATGTTCTAGACACATAGCAAAGCAACTATGAAAAAAAGTGGAGAGATTTCTGTGGTAAAGTAAACCTAGGTAGTGACCAGAACTCTGAGATGATGATAAAACTTTGCAGCTGTTTATCAGTAACAACAGGTATAGTAACCCAAAGAGCAAGAAGGGAAGGGATCATGTGATGCTACATGGCTCTCAGCTCTTTAAACACTATTGGCATAATTGGTCAAGAATAATGAGTTACCTGCTGTTTACTGCTTGTGCAAGAGAAGCTCGCCAGACTTTACAATTCGTGACGTGTGGATGGTGAGTTGAGGTGTGTACCAGGCATCAGAAATGACCTCATACGAGGCACTTTCAGTTTGTACAGTACTATTACCAATAATTTTAAGTGAGCTTTTTCCAGCTTTCGCGTAAGGAGCTGTTCCAAAAGTGAGTATTCCTGCCATATACTCAAATGCTCTTCATTGAATTTGAACCGTGATGAGTTGTAGCACAGTAAAACCTCGCTTATTCTGACATTTTTCATTGTACTGTATATCTCATCTGCATTCATTTCTGATAAAGTTTTAGACCACATGTTAAGTTTCAAACTTACAAACATGAGTAGTTTTGTCTATATTTAATTGAATTTCAGTAAAAAACTTTTGAGAACAAACATTATAAGTGAATAAGGTTACTAGTACCTTGGAGAAAGTCTAGCAGAGTGATGAGGCTGCATGTGTGAACATAGCACAACATATTGTTAATATACTATCCAATAAACAACTTTTTTTAAACATGAAGGCTCATTGGTAAAGTAATTAAAATTAAGCTAGGTTTCTTCAAAAGATTTTGTCATCATTTATTTGCAGACTTGAAAGGTGAGCTGGCAGTAGAACCCTTGTGAGAAAATAGGTCTCCTTGGAAAGGTTCAGGAACCTTAGTTTTGCAAATCTTGAATACTTAATCCATCATATTAAGTTTGAGATAGAGTAAAGTTGATCATTGATCAGTTATATTAATATGGATGCAGGTTAATGATTACAGAACATATCTTGTTTCTGTGGCTATTAATAATTTATTTGTCTATGCTGTGTTTTAGTTTCAAATCGGCTTGCTAATAATAAATGTCACATAACTTGTGTGATAAAGTATTAATTTGACGAGAGTATCATAATACTACCTTGATGTAGTGGTAATAAGCGAGTTTTGACTGTTAATATATACATAAATTTACAAGAGAGGTTACTAAAGGTAATGCATTAGTGCAGTTTTGTCCCTTGTTTCTATGTCCTATATTTGACTATTGTTTTCATTATTTTAAAGTAAATGACCAGAATATAAGAGAAGATTGATAATTATAATCACAAGGTAGAATAATAAGTTAATTATGTGATGACAGTCCTTTCACTTCAGCAGTCTGCATGTGTTGTTGCCGCTAAACCAAAATTATTTGCAGTGACTGCTATTTAAAGTCGTTCTACTTTACCCAGTAAATTTGCTAGGCAGTGCAAAACCAAAATGCAAGGAATTTGGGTGGTTCATTGTAATGCTTGGCGAGATAATGAAGTCGTAGAAATCTTTTTGTAGTCACCTATAACAGTATTTAATATGCAGTTATAATTCTTTAAAGTAAGCAGGGAACTTGGTAACTCTTATTGGAAAGACTGAATAATATTTGACAAAAGCTTGCTGTTAAGTACCCAGCGTGTTGATAAAGATTGTAATATCATACAAACATTGACTAGTGTAATGTAAAGAATACTTCTGTTATGTCATGTATTTCAAAATTAAGGATCTTGATATAAAGATCAGTTTTCATTGTAAACAGACTGAAAGTGAAAGGGTCACATCCATTAATAACAAACATTCTTTCATTTTTTTTATTTGATATATTGCTGATAATTTTAGTGCAAAGTCAAATTGTAAATTGTTGCACTTTATCTTCCAACATTATTTGGAGTAGATGGTTGACAGTTGTCTAGTTGATGTACCTGCTTATATAAAGTGAGTTACTACATGTGTATTTTTCAGCTATAATAGGATGAGTGTGCCACTTACGATCATGCAATACATTTGCATTTTAAAATCTGACATATGCATGAATGTACTAAATTAATTTACACACATGAAAAGGGCAGGAAAGAAGTACATTTTAGTTGGCATTAAAGTGCAGATTAAAAATAAAATTAATGCCTTCCAGCTTCTAAAACTAGATGAATTAAGGTTTGGTAATTTTGAAATGGTTTTCTAAATCCGATTAGCAACATTGCTGACTAAAGAAAAATGTCACATGCACGCTAGAGCATAGGTTGCATATATTCAGAAGGTGCCGATCACAGATGAAAAACTATAAGGGTTTACTTTGGGGAGGGGTTTGGGATATTTGCTGTTCAGAGTGACGTCTGAACTGTAGTATCTGTGTGCCTCTGGCAAGACAGTGATAGTATGAGTGATGGTGAAAGTGTTTCTTTTTTGGGTCAGTGGGAGACAGTCAGCGTGTTTAAAAAAAAAAATAATGTACTTTGAGGGACACGCACAAATATAAAAGAGGAGAGGCCTATGACAGACTGAGGGAAAAAGCAAAGCGAATAAGAAAATTTAGATGAAATAAATATGAGATGGGAGCTAAGAATTTGTTCTTGGGGACAGCAGTAATCTGAACAGGGTCAGTCCTATTCTCTTCTTAGTGTGTGTAAACAACTTGTCAGAGGGGATAGACTCCGACACAAATTTCTGCTGTTGCTGCAAAACTAAATGAAAATATAAGGTAAAGAATAAAAAGGTGCAATACCGTGACTGGAACAATATGTAAATAACCCGCACATAGCAGAAAGAAACTCATTACAGCGCCGTGGTCCAACTTGGACTACATTGTGTCATAAGTGTGGCTAGTTAATGGTCCAAGTCGGACTGAAACATCATCATAAGTTTCTTTCTCCCATGTGCTGGTTATTTGTGCACAAACAAAGGTGACTGCATTGCATAAAAACAACAAAGTGACTGTAACAGGCTACAAAAATGGTATGACAAAGAAAAGTGATGGTGGCAAATGCAAAGTAATGAAGCTTATTGTGGCAGAGAGGAGGCAGGAGGCAGTCCATCAGCTGAACTGGGAGCAATTCTCAAAGTACATTAAGCAATTAGACCTAAATGTGGGAGTACTTGACCTGTGTCTAGAAGCACGAAGATCAACATGCACCCAGCAGTGTGTCTTAATATCCAAAACAACACCAGCTACATATGGCTGTGTAACAAGCATTTGAATGACTTTAAGAAACATGGACAAAAACTCTTATATTTTGTTTGAACATGTGTATTCAGTCAATTATTAGCTGGTACAGTCAAGTATTAGCTGGTACAGTCAATTATTAGTATCAATCATATCGTTTGTTATCTAGCGTGTTTCTCAGTTTTATTGCTCTTGTGTTGATGAAGTGTTTCCTGGTGTGGTTGGGTGTGCAGTGTCCTTTGGTTTAGATATTGCAATGAAGAATATGTAAAATTGAACTTCCTGTGAATTAATCATGGAAAATTCTCAACTAACATTGTGCTGAAGGATATTTGCAAATCTGTAGTACATAGTCTGCTTATCTGTGGGATTTTGTGTGCAAGTTTACAACCAATGAAAGTGAAGACGTGGCATTAACTCAATTTGGATAGTGTACTGAGTTGATGATTTTATTACTGCTGAATGGAATAATGTGTATAGGTATGCGGTATACAAGATTGAAAGTATGGCATTATTTAAGATACTCTCTGAGTTTAAATAAGTTTAAGATTGTGTTTGATTAAGGTGGTACAGTACCAGTGTAGTAGAGAAGGTACAAGGAAGCAGGTAATTGTGTCCAGTGTTGGACCTTTATCTGTTGTGTGTCCCTCCACTGCTACAGTGCCTGCTCAGAATACACCCCAACCAGGTGTAGTATGTGTGTATTAGCCTCACCTCTACTCCACCAGTCAAACCAGCAGTTGGTAAATTTTATGAAAGTGATATCTTTGTCATTTTTTGAAGTGCTGAAATTCTGGAGCTGATGTAGTGGCTGTATAGTAGGAGTGAGGCGCTTTCCCATGACCTAGTTCAGTCAGCAGGACAGGCAGTAAGTGTAAGCAGCAAGACGAGGGCTCACAGACTTTAGCACTGCAGCCCAGAGATGCAGGGTACACTCCCGGCTGTGCTACTCCTATTGACCATCACATGTTTCTTCCGCCACTCAGTCGGTCAGATCGAGCGTGTCTTCCTGTCAGCCGGTCACCAGAAGGTCTGGGACCACTTCACCAAGGCCCAGAGGCGCAACATTGAGATGTGGAAGAAGCAGGCCGAGGTATGCTGCGCCCCATGCACGCCCCACTCACAGGCTGCACCCCCATGACTGTATAATGTACATTATTGTGTTCAGTGAATTGTGTTTGACTAGTTTCACATATTAGGTCATGGGATCAGGTTGGCATTCTCCTGTGAGTGGTGTCTTTTGTTCAGTGTTCATGAAAATCATTAATGAACTAGTGCAAAACATGGGGCTGTTTCTTTGTACATGAAATCACCTACTGGCAAAGCTTCTTCAGGTAATTCATTGTAAGAAGTGTCGTCCTCTACAGAAGTGCTACTAATTATTTTAAAGGTTGAATAATTGTTATATTGTACACTGTAATAAGGTAAGCATGGCTGTTCTCCACATCTTAATTGCATGCTGTTGGGGAGAAATTATTTGCAAAAAGAGCCTTTTCTTATGTAGACCCTAGTTGTTCAACAGGGTACTAGTGTCTGTTAAACAGTCAGGAATCTGTTTATGCTTTAAAATCTGTTAAAAATCATCTCTCTTTCCTAGAGTTTGATACTTATGATCATACTGTCACCCTTGAATATAAAGTCTAGACTTGAAGTGAGACCTAGGCTGCTGGGATGATTAGATATGTTACAGTTAATATATATTTGCATGTTTTTAATCCAGTGGTCATCTCTCACCATGGTAGTGTGAGGTTAAAAAAAAAAATTATCATCACTCATTCAATAGCTGTCTTGCTATAAGTGAGAGGACATTACAATTCATATGACACTGTTAATTTCAATATCCCTGCCACTGCAGGCACTGTGCTCTTCCCCTGCAGGACTCGAGTCCAGTTAACCCATTCCCTGAATCTATAAATGTTGCCTTGCTCACACTGCAGCATGTCAAGTTATAAAAGCCACTTGTCACTCATAACTAACATGCTCTCACAGGCCTGGATGTTCAAGCCCCTAGCACTTGACACTTTTCTTTATTAACTGCCTCTACTTCTCATTCCACCCTAGATTTCTGCACCCACTTGGTCATCCTATTCTCCTCCATCCTCTAAATGCCCAAACTATGTAAATGGCCTTTTCTCTGCCCCCTGACTTTCAATCAGGAATATGTATTGGGAAATGGATTTTATTAATTTCATAGTTCTAAACTTAGCCAATTTATTTTTGGTTCCAAGTTTTCATTTGCATTTTGCCTGAGAGCTAACAGAGTCTCAAAGACTATAAATAGCACTGATTTCAAATAAGAGGATTATGGACCAGCATACTAGCTTCATTTAGTTCCTAATTTTTCAGCTTGGTATTTTTTATTAAGGGACAATATTAGAGCCCCACCCCCTTCAAAGCTGCCAGCAATGAACAAATTACTAATGAGTAAAATGCAAGTAAATTGTATGTTTGTGTGAAACACTTAATATCAGATAGCTTAATTAAGTATATGAAAATGTGTACTTATTATTTTTTTATTATCACACTGGCCGATTCCCACCAAGGCAGGGTGGCCCGAAAAAGAAAAACTTTCACCATCATTCACTCCATCACTGTCTTGCCAGAAGGGTGCTTTACACTACAGTTTTTAAACTGCAACATTAACACCCCTCCTTCAGAGTGCAGGCACTGTACTTCCCATCTCCAGGACTCAAGTCCGGCCTGCCGGTTTCCCTGAACTCCTTCATAAATGTTACTTTGCTCACACTCCAACAGCACGTCAAGTATTAAAAACCATTCGTCTCCATTCACTCCTATCAAACACGCTCACGCACGCCTGCTGGAAGTCCAAGCCCCTCACACACAAAACCTCCTTTACCCCCTTCCTCCAACCTTTTCTAGGCCGACCCCTACCCCGCCTTCCTTCCACTACAGACTGATACACTCTTGAAGTCATTCTGTTTCGCTCCATTCTCTCTACATGTCCGAACCACCTCAACAACCCTTCCTCAGCCCTCTGGACAACAGTTTTGGTAATCCCGCACCTCCTCCTAATTTCCAAACTACGATTTCTCTGCATTATATTCACACCACACATTGCCCTCAGACATGACATCTCCACTGCCTCCAGTCTTCTCCTCACTGCAACATTCATCACCCATGCTTCACACCCATATAAGAGTGTTGGTAAAACTATACTCTCATACATTCCCCTCTTTGCCTCCAAGGACAAAGTTCTTTGTCTCCACAGACTCCTAGTGCACCACTCGCCCTTTTCCCTCATCAATTCTATGATTCACCTCATCCTTCATAGACCCATCCGCTGACACGTCCACTCCCAAATATCTGAATACATTCACCTCCTCCATACTCTCTCCCTCCAATCTGTATCCAATCTTTCCATCACCTAATTTTTTGTTATCCTCATAACTTTACTCTTTCCTGTATTCACTTTTAATTTTTTTTCTCTTGCACACCCTACCAAATTCATCCACCAATCTCTCAACTTCTCTTCAGAATCTCCCAAGAGCACAGTGTCATCAGCAAAGAGCAACTGTGACAACTCCCCCTTTATTTTGTGATTCTTTATCTTTTAACTCCACGCCTCTTGTCAAGACCCTCGCATTTACTTCTCTTACAACCCCATCTATAAATATATTAAACAACCACGGTGACATCACACATCCTTGTCTAAGCCCTACTTTTACTGGAAATAAAATTTCCCCCTTTCCTATGTACTCTAACTTGAGCCTCACTATCCTTGTAAAAACTCTTCACTGCTTTCAGTAACCTACCTCCTACACCATACACCTGCAACATCTGCCACCCTTGCCCCCTATCCACCCTGTCCCTATGCCTTTTCCAAATCCATAAATGCCACAAAGAACTCTTTAGCCTTATCTAAAATACTGTTCACTTATATGTTTTTACTGAACACCTGGGCCACACACCCCCTACCTTTCCTAAAGCCTCCTTGTTCATCTGCTATCCTATTCTCCATCTTACTTTTAATTCTTCAAAAATGACTCTACCATACACTTTACCAGGTATACTCAACAACTTATCCCCCTATAATTTTTGCACTCTTTTGTCCCCTTTGCCTTTATACAAAGGAACTATGCAGCTCTCTGCCAACCCTAGGTACCTTACCCTCTTCCATACATTTATTAAATAATTGCACCAACCACTCCAAAACTATATCCCCACCTGCTTTTAACATTTCTATCTTTATCCCTTTCAATCCCGGCTGCCTTACCCCCTTTCATTTTACCTACTGCCTCACGAACTTCCCCCACACTCACAACGGCTCTTCCCACTCCTACAAAAATGTTATTCCTCCTTGCCCTATACACAAAAATCACAACTTCCCTATCTTCATCAACATTTAACAATTTCTCAAAATATTCCCTCCTTTTTCCCCAAAAACCTCTAACTCTCCATTTAATAACTCTCCTCTCCTATTTTAACTGACAAATCCATTTGTCTCTAGGCTTCCTTAACTTGTTAATCTCACTCCAAAACTTTTTCTTATTTTCAACAAAATTTGTTGATAACATCTCACCCACTCTCTCATTTGCTCTCTTTTGACATTGCTTCACCACCTCTTAACCCCTCTCTTTTTCTCCATATACTCTTCCCCCTTGCATCACTTCTACTTTGTAAAAACTTCTCATATGCTAACTTTTTTCCCTTACCACTCCTTTACATCACCATTCCAACCAATCGCTCCTCTTCCCTCCCACACCCACTTCCTGTAACCACAAACTTCTGCTGAACACTCTAACACTACATTTTTAAACCTACCCCATACCTCTTCGACCCCATTGCCTATGCTCTCATTAGCCCATCTATCCTCCAATAGCTGTTTATATCTTTCCCTAACTGCCTCCTCTTTTAGTTTATAAACCTTCACCTCTCTCTTCCCCGATGCTTCTATTCTCCTTGTATCCCATCTACCTTTTACTCTCAGTGTAGCTACAACTAGAAAGTGATCTGATAATCTGTGGCCCCTCTATAAACATGTACATCCTGAAGTCTACTCAACAGTCTTTTATCTACCAATACATAATCCAACAAACTACTGTCATTTTGCCCTACATCATATCTTGTATACTTATTTATCCTCTTTTTTCTTAAAATATGTATTATACAAAGTTCAATCAAAGGGCTCTCATTATCATTTACACCTGGCACCCCAAACTTACCTACCACACCCTCTCTAAAAGTTTCTCCTACTTTAGCATTCAGGTCCCCTACCACAATTACTCTCTCACTTGGTTCAAAGGCTCCTATACATTCACTTAACATCTCCCAAAATCTCTCTCTCTCCTCTACATTCCTCTCTTCTCCAGGTGCATACACGCTTATTATGACCCACTTCTCGCATCCAACCTTTACTTTAATCCACATAATTCTTGCATTTACACATTCATATTCTCTTTTCTCCTTCCATAACTGATCATTCAACATTACTGCTACCCCTTCCTTTGCTCTAACTCTCTCAGATACTCCAGATTTAATCCCATTTATTTCCCCCCACCGAAACTCCCCTACCCCCTTCAGCTTTGTTTCGCTTAGGGCCAGGACATCCAACTTCTTTTCATTCATAACATCAGCAATCATCTGTTTCTTGTCATCTGCACTACATCCATGCACATTCAAGCATCCCAGTTTTATAAAGTTTTTCTTCTTCTCTTTTTTAGTAAATGTCTACAGGAGAAGGGGTTACTAGCCCATTGGGATGTAATTGGTCATTGGTTTGTTACCCTGATACATAAGACGTTTTACCAAGCTTGATACACTGGTCACTCTATAACACTTAGTTATAACAGAGATTACATGCAACACTTAGTTGTGACAAAGATTACACAAAGATAGCTTAAGAATTATACATTGAGTTCTTATGGTGTATGGTTTTATACTGTATGTATAAAACAAGACTTGTTTAGGATAAACATTGTGAATATTTGTTGTAAAGGGACGATGCCTTGACCAAGAACTTGCTATACCAATAACTGCAGTCACTCTTCCCTTGGATCATACCTGATTACCTTCTATTTCCAGTCTCTGAATGACCCTTACAGGTTTAGTGTTTTGCAGAGGATGTAATAAATT